CTATGGAAAAGAGGAAATAAGTTTTTGAATCCAGGTGCATTTTATGCCCACTCTTAAATTTGAGTGTCCGGGAGAGTGGCAGAAATGTATTTCGCTAAGGCTTGAATAGGGACATTTATTAATAAGCGAGCACTTCAAAATGCGGAATTTGATTTTATAACGTTAAACCGCATTAAGTTACTTCCGCAATGATATTTGTTTGAATTACGTCAAACTAATTTTTTAATATTTTCGCACGATTTCCATGCAACTTCATAAAAACAGGTTTTACACTTTGCCAAACGTTTTCTTGAGCTGTCGGCAGTCTGTCTTTATCATCATGTTGTTGTCCTCAAAGGAAGAGTTGGATATCCTTTAAATAGCTTTTTACATTAAATACTAGCAGATAAGATCATTTTCGCTTGGAGTTGCTATTTGCAGAGCTGAATGACGTACGTAATTTGTCAACACTTAGCGTATTGGTTATAAACGAAGGGTCATTCACACCTGTATAAATCAGTCAACGCAGACAAGAATAACATTTAGACAGACCAATCATCTGCGTGGCAGATAATTTAGATTGACGACTAAAATAGGAAATCGGTTTCTTATCTGTAGCATGCAAAATTTTCTACAAACACAGCCTAGCGGTTCTTTTTGTGAGGGTAAATGCTCCGGAGATTTGGTTAAATGCGCATGCCTTCTCGACTGTCTTCATCTAGATTGAATAGGTGTTTTTTTTTCAAAGTGTTTCTGTAGTAGCTTTGTGTATGCAAGGAGGTATAAGTCCATTTTAGCACGCGTCCGTCGCATTCCCTCTGCTGGTATCAGTTTTCCATGTGAAGTTTTGGTCCCTATAAAATACTGCGCCACTCCACAATGTTTAAGCAATTTTAAATTAAATTCTGCATGATATTGTGTATTTTAATCATTCAGAAATCCCTTTTTTAATGTGCCGTGGCTTCATGCATATCTCTTATTGCATATTGACATTCAAAAATTCCGTATGGTGGAATATCGTACGCGTTAAGAGACTGCAAAGCAGATGCTTATCTTAAACTCTCCCAGCGGTAACCATACAGTATTATGCCAGTCTCATCATAATCGCACCACTTTATTCTTTATTGACCCACCGCGACTCGAGGATATTTGCTGAAAGTTTCTTAATAGTACGTTCAAAACTAGGTTAATTACTTATACACAACCACACTGAGGTCAGTATTTAAATTTTAAATTTCATAAAAATATTTTTTATAGGTCAAATGCTTGCTGTTTTCAAAGTCGCCTATTTGGGGGGGGGGGGTTTCTCAGAACATGTTGTCGTATTTTTCGCCATGGGATAAATATGACTCCGTCCAAAATTACCAGTCTGTGAGATTTGACATCACAGTCTCCAAAATATCAGAGCCAAAAATCTTACTAGTTATTTCATTAATATGACACACAAAATCTATTATATTTGCCGCAACGACCGAAAGGTCCTTTCCAAAATCCGCTTTAAATAGTATCCCAGACGTTGAAAAACGAATAAAAGAATGCACTCAAATTCAACAATACATTTTGTCTTGAAAGTATGCGTCGTGAATTGCGGGCCTGTCAATCAAGGGCCGAAATCATGGTTTCCGCCGCGCAATTTCCTAATTTTAATCTTTCAACCCCTTGCATTTTAAATGAAATTGGGAGAGGGTTCCCAGAAATTATTCAAAAGGCATTTTTATATCCTTCAAAAAACTATGTGTTCTCGCTGTTTTCTTATCACTTTCTCTATCTTAATTCCCTAAGTTGAATTCAGCAGGTTGCTTGTCATCTCGTCAGCTCTTACCATCCTCTATAGCGTTCGTTTATTTGCGACCTCAAAAGTCCATGGAGACTTATTGCCACCACAACAGAAAAAAGAGGCTACAAAACGCGCGATCCCAAATTGTGCGTGACAAGGCTTATACGGCCGGTGGAATGTCACTTTGACTATCTCAGGTCACCGGTCTTGACCGCAAGGCTCGTCGGAGCCGTCAGTGGCTGCGGCGCTAGTTTGGTGGATTACCGTCAGGCAAACGCACTAATCTCAAGACCCCAGCAGGTCATTGATATGCCAACGATAAGGAGTGAAAAATGCCTTAGCATCAATGACTGAATGTTTGACAGGGTTTGTTTTTCTCTAATTTAAAAATGCTAGTTAGTGGTAACTCAGTATGAAATGCAAGTTCTTAGTCCTTGACTAATGGTTATGTGCGTTCGGATGGTCTCAGGACTTACAAGCGGGCACGCGTAGTTTGATAGAAGACGTGTGTTATTGCAAAACGTGCGCAGTATGTGCTTCACAGCCTTTTTAAGGCCAATTCTTCTAATAGCTGGCTTTGTGACTGAGGTTGGTTTTCCGTATAGGCACATTTATTGCTGAGATACGTTCACGCGAGAATGGGGTTGTTTTCAGGCTACTGTTTAGCGTCATGTCAAAATAAATTTGCGCTTGGAATGAAAAATATTGGGTGTCTCGATGATACTCCTTGTAATTGGCACGCTTCTTTATCATATTTTCCGACAGGGTAGATTAAAATAAATTAACTTTTTTTACTCTAGCTGCTTGATAAGTTAGCCAGAAGAAACTGTTTGACTAGACGTTATTTTTGGTTTACGTTTTGTAAAACTACGCGCACGGCACACGCTCAGATATTTATAATTTTACAAAATACTTGAGAAAAATTAACGACTATTTTGACATCTCTAAATCCTGTTGTTTATCCTTGCACTTACTTTATTGTGGGTTTACCGGTCAGCGGTATTCTCTGTTTTACTGCTCTTAAACCCATAAGGATTACTATGATTGCACTTAGTTACTACTGCCACAAAACAATTATTTGTAGTCATAACCGGTAATATATCTGTGGAGGCATCGAAAAATTTTTGTTTCATTATTGGTGCAATCACAACCAGGCATAAAATGTGCTAGAAAACACACAGAACTTGAACTTTTAAAAAATATGCAATACTACTTTTAGTCCTGGACTTTAATGTTATGCTAATGACGGTCCTTTTCTTAATTTAAATATTGTCTTGGACCACCTGCCGAAATATCATCGAGAAAATGTGTTATCTGCAGCATGACCCCATAATAAGTCGCTTACTGATAAGAAAAAGAAGCAATTACTGGGTCAAGGGCTTGATTCGCCTGACGTTTCGGGTTCTCAACTGAACCCATCATCAGAGACAGCGGCAGAAACGGAAAGGGTATGGTCGGTTCGAAAGTCATTTCTGATTACCGAATAATTTTGAACCGAACTTGATGTTTCACTTGCACTTGGGATTTCCAAATTACAAGGTGTGTAAGTAACGTGTACAGAAAATCGCACATTTCCATATGGTATAAAGTGGAGGCCGCAGGTGTTTCAAAAACTCAAGAAGCCGAGTTGAGCTATATTTGTGCCCGTACTGGCAAAATAATTAAATGCATGGACACGCGGTTTTTTGATGGTCATTTTATAATAACAATATTTCACCATCAAATTTTACTCTTTCGAGCATAACATTAGGGAATCAAGTAATTTTCTTCCAATTTAGTAAGAAAAACGAATATGTATAAACATGCTTTTTTGAAATATATTTGAACGTGCAAAGTCACCGAAAACTAGGGGAAAAAGTCGTGCCCCCTAAATGTTCACTTTTAAGGAGTGTAGTTTTTGCAGTTTGCCAAAAAGAATTTCGTTTGGAAACCGGCCTCCTGATGTTAGAAAATCAACATGAAATAACGCTCCGCGGTGGTGACTTTTACAACTCAACTGAAGTAATCTTTCGAGTTGAGAAGACATTTCAGAAGTTTGGTCAACATTGCATCAGTTAGCCTATCTATGTTGTCTCTAGCTCCATCAATTGTACCCATTTATTCGAATTCAACCTGCAATATTGCCGCATCGTTCGAAATCACCTTATGCGATATGTCTTACCGAACGGTGGAATTTACGTAAGCAACATTACAGAATGTGATTTAACACTTCTTTAGTCGGTTTTTTGCCATTGTATACTATTGGTTTACACCTTTTTATTTGCGGGCTAGGCGAATTTGGAAGTCGTCAAGTATCGTCAAGTTTTTAAATTTGCAAAATGAAACATGGAAATTGTAAGAAAATATGCCTATTTTGTAAATGTGCTGTTTTTTAGAATGTTAATAAACAGCAGAACAAACAAGAGTGCATAATTGTAATGATCAGGAGGGAACAACAAAGACTCCTAATGTGCTTTCTTCCACCTAATGACCTGCTCTTTGATCCGTTTTAAAAATCTTTTCAATTCCCGGAAAATTTTGAACATGACCTAAGGTCTCACTTGCACTTGGGATTTCCAATCTATAAGGTGTGTATATAACGTGTACGGAAAATCGCACGTTTCCATATGGCGTAAAATGGAGATCGTATGTGTTTCAAAAACTCAAGAAGCCGATTTGAACTATATTTGTGACCGTGCTGGCAAAATAATAAAATGCAGAGACACGCGGTTTTTGGACGGCCATTTTATGCTTAACAATAGTTCACCAACAAATTTCACTCTTACGAGCATAACATCTGGGAAACATGTCACTTTCTTCCAATTGAGTAAAAGAGCGAATATGTTTATACATGCTCTTTTTGAAATATATTTTGACTTACGTTCCGTGGTTGTTTCATTTAACAACCCAACTGAACTAATCTTTTCAAGTCGAACACGTAGTCATCAGTCAGCTCATCTACGTTGCCTCTAGCTCAAACCAATCGTACCCATTTTATCCTATTAAGCCTGCAACATTGCTGCATTGTTCGAAATCACTTTATACGATTCATCTTACCGAACGGTATGATTTGCATAAGCCTAAATACAGAACGTCGTTTAGCATTTTCTGTCCGTTTTTTGCCATTGTACACAATTTGTTCAAACTTCTTGCCCCTGCCGTCTAGGCGCATTTTGAAGCAAGATGTCGTCAAGTATTGAACTTTATAAAATGAAACATGGAAATGGTAACAAAATATGCCTATTGGGTAAATTTTCTGTTGTTTTCAGAATGTTAGTAAAGGACATGACAAACAAGAGTGCATAATTGTAAGGATCAGGAGGGAACAACAAAGACCCTTGATGTGCTTTCGTCCACCTGATGACCTGCTCTTTTTCGGATTGGTGGAACGTTGGCACTGAGAGGACGGCCGGTGGGGAGTGGGATTGGCGGATGGATGCACTTCCGTCTGGAGCATCGGACGTGTGTCCACGGGAGACTTCTCGCTACAATGACTTTCCCCTGACCTTTAATAAGAAAACACGTTGCAAAACTAGTGGTCATGCCGTTTAGATAATTAAGAAGAAGTAGGTAAAAAAGAAGAAATCCTGCCAGAGAAGCAGCAGTCTATCTGTTCGCAAATCCGTACAATATGGAAGGTCGACAAGACGTTCTGCAGTGCATGTGCCTCGAAATTGTTCGTCCATAGTGGATAGTGGAAATTTAAGCATAGGCAAACGGTCAGTTTCGAACTTTGATAATTTTAAACTGTGCTGGTGGACTGCTTCCATTATTGATGGGAAAGAGATACTTTTTTCTGATAGTTCTTTCTATCTAAAGAGCATCCTATCTAAGGTATTTGTAATTAATAACGAATATCTAACTATCGTTTGTAAAAATTTCTTCCAAATAGGCTTAGCAAGTGTTTACATAATGACTCCGCCGGGTTTATATCTCGAAACCTTAGTGTCCTCAAATTATGCACTGTTGGTTCTAATACTTAAGTTAGCAAACCACAAGGTAGCAGTGATTGAAATTCACAGACGTGGTCTATTGACGTTAATTGTCAAACAATTACGCCTGCGGTGACTTGCGCGTGAATTAGTTTGCAGTTAATGTTGACTTGCGCCGCACCTACTGCACACTCTCCTTCTGCCCCATTTGGGCCCGGTGTCAAGAGAGAGTCAAGAAGACGGGGTGCGGGCGAGCGCCGGTGGCTGGCACGGTCGAACCCATACCTTACTGTGACACCCACTTCGTGATCCACAACGTGCAAGTGACCATGACTTTTCGACAACAACAACTACACTCCAACAGGGGTCAGAAGAGCGAGGATGATGACTGAGCGGCCATGCCAACCACCTGGTGGGAGCGCAAGAGCATCTACTGGCAGGGAACCTGGTGTCAGGGAACTGCCAACGCATACTAGGCTGCAAGGGCCATGGTTTGCTGTTACTGGCATAACGCACACTTCCAGAGCTTCGTACACCAGATACTCGGTCATATACACGCAACACATGACGATTATGATGACGATGGTGATGGGGAGGGGAAGGAGGAGGAGGAGGGGGAGGGAAGGAGGAGGCCGAAGCCGCCCGTACGCATGCTGCCAAATCCTTATCTCCACAAACACCCCGGTTAGAGAGACAGTCTATTAAATCGGCTTCTCAACAAGAAATGGGAATACCGACGAAGTAAATCATGGAACTATTATCAACATCCACAACAAATATACAGTTTTTTGGAAACGAGAATGCGGCAATGCTGCAAAATCGTTTCATGCTTCCCTCCCACAAACAGACTGGAAAAACGCCCAATCGAACCATCAGATGAATAGCCCCAGTCACTGTGTCTGCTATGTCGATGGCATTTTCACGATTATCATTGTGAAATTAACTAATCTATCTTCTTAGATGTTGTACATCAGGCATATCCTTAGGTCAGATTTGAAGATAAGTTGGAAAGTTTAGGTTGGCTACCTTTAACTAACGTCTATCCAAGCAGAAGATCCGACAATGGTGTTCAAAGGGCGCCTATCGGAAGAAAGGTTGGTTTAAACGGAAACGAACAATTCTAAGTCGTTTGACAAAAATAGTTAGACAATTCGGGTCGAGAGCCATCGTCCGCTGAGAAAGATCTAAGACACACATCCCGAGAACAGGTATTCTGTCAGTTTCATTTGAAAGATTACGGAGAGACTCGAAAAAACCCATCACTGAGAAGGAGGAAAAAAGCTCTGCTCCTCAAGATGCCCTTTCAAGAGGACAAAGCGAGTTAACTCCCAGGAAGACATCTTAAACAGGTTGTTTACCGACAACAACCAAGCGACAGTCATCGGGTTACGGCCGCTGCTGTTGTCGGCTCAAAATCATCTGATGTAAGACCCGCGTCTTTCATGGCCATGGCGCTTCTCCCCATCCCACTTATACGACCTTTCCTAACTCCCACGTCCTCCCACCAGAGTCTCCTACTCCCAGGAACCAACTTGCATGGAAAGAAAACTAGTGGTTTTTCTTAGAACTCGTATGTTCTAACTGTTCCATGTTCGCATATGAATAAACCCACTCGATGGAAATCTATGGAAAGCACAGGTATGGCTGCCAACGGTTAGTTTCGCAACTCAACGTTCTATATGAATCTATTTAAACTCCAAAATAGTTGACCGTTTATACTTTAAAACCTGATGAGAAATTCTGATGTATATACAGGGCTATAGCGCATAATTTATGAAATATAATATAAAAAATATTTTTTGTCTCTGGACTGCACGGTAAAGCCATCATTTTTTCAAAGCTGTCCATCCAAAATAGTGTTCCTTTACGATAGCGTGTGGGTGTAAACTCGCTTACTCACTTGTATGGCTACGTTACTTCCCTCAACGAGTTTTGGTTGATAACTAAGGCGTATTACTGATTTGCTGTTGCAGGGGGTCACATGGGAATTTACAGACGAATGCTTTAGAAAATTCACACTTTTCATACCCTGGTTATTAGTCGGCAAGGTTTGAGGCTTAAAAACGCCCATATGGTGGACTGATTGTCTATTTCCGAATCAAGTCAGGATAGTACGTGGGTGTACATTACGTTTTCTATGTACTTTTTGGCCAAAGCCTACAGGTTCCGATTTCAAACAGTTTATTAAAACTAAAGTTAGCTTATCGAGGCTTAGCACTAAGGTAGGGTTTCGGTTTATGGTGAGCATTTGGATCCTGATTAGTGTGATGCTATCGCAAGCAAAAGGCCAAACTTCTACAACCCAGTCCATACTTTCATCAGTCCAAACACTTCTAAACCTCCTTGTAATGGTTAACTTGGTACAAGTACCTTATGACAAGTGGTAAACAGTTGTCAGAAGTGTGATTATGCAACAAGAAATCTACAGATTTTTAATATAAGCTAGGCACATTTCTTATAATACTGCTTTCCCGGACAGCTTATGACGTTAACCAAACGGTTTATCATTGATCTCGTTCAAAATGACTGGCCTTAAAATGAATTCAAATTTCCATCTCATTTAAACATGATAACCTTGAGATTTTCAGCCCTTTTGTGTATTACTTCACTTATTGCGTTTTGGATATTTCGAGCGACCGAAGGTGCGCACTTGCATTCTTGTTCAAGTTAAACACGCCGCACGCTATGACCTTCGGAGATAATCTCTTCTTTGGCACGCCCAATAAAATGGAAGTCTGGACGATTATTGTTACCGCGTCATAAAGGAGCTTATCTGGTTGGTTGAACACATGTCCGAAATATATTTTGGACTGCTTTTTCTCTGATGTAGTCGGCCTTCGTGTTTATTTTGTGCATACACCTCTACTATCACACACATCTTAGGAAAATAATATTCAGCCTTACTCCTACCTGGCTATCTTTTAAAAAATATTTATTTATTGCTTGACTCCTCTACTTTTTTTAAGTACTGACATAGAGGTCCGTTCTAAAAAGGTGGACGTGAGCTTAAGGAAAAAAATATTTTCTTAAATTTAAATTTTCACTTCCAAAACAGGAAAATTAATAGAGCGCTTAAGACAAGATGCTAGTCTCAGATGCAGTGCTGCAGTCATGATAGTGCCAGGTAATATTATTTCTGTTGATTATGTTGACTGCTTAGCAACTGCGTTTTACAATTACTATGACCAGCAAATGTCAGCCGACCTAATCCGTTGTTATCTCTGATGCTGACCTTAGGATAGGTTTCTAAACCTCGGGCGAAATGAGATATTTCGGAAACCCATGCAACGGAAATCGTTCTTTCGTTTATATTAACAGGCATTCTTCCATTAGCGCGCAGCTTTTCTGACACAACGTGCAAGAATGAAACTTGAATTTTCCCGGGATCGCAAACCGTAGGGCGTGACGACACGGCCGTTTCAGTCTCTTGAGATGTAGTGCTCTGCTCCTTACTATTCAGTGATAATGCTGTTTTCGCACAAAACAGTCAGTCATATAAGCAGCATGTTCGTAAACACTGATTCCAGCAGTCACAAAGAGGGAGACACGAGTGGGAATCCGTAACGTCAGGATAATAAAGCTCTTGCTCCAGCGATCGTGTGTCCATCTTCGCGACTACTCCCTGGAACTCGCCTCTTGGCTTTAAGCAGTCACACCGGAGTACTGACTAACCGCGTGATTATCGCTTAAGTGACCAGCAATAGCGCCTCGGTGTTTAACACCACTTTTACAAGCAGGCAACAAATCATCACGCGCCAGTTGCGTATGTAGGGGCACGGCTTATTCGAACGGATGTGTGACTACGTAACGACGGCATCCCCTAGGTGATGCACTCCGCTGCGCGCCGCTGGTTGTTAATCACTGTCATGGTCGGTTTGGCAGTATTTCATCAATGCCAGAAGAAAACGATCTCTGCCGGCCTGCTGTTTACAAATATGCTCATCCAATGTGCACTTAAATAAGGTACTGAAAACTCTGCAAGTTCGAAATTGCATCGGCCACAGAGTAGAGCATCTACTGGTAGCTGTGAAAAAACCAGCCTTTACGAGTGTCTGCAGTAATGGTAATATCTCTCATCAGGGGCAAGCATTTACCGGCTGGAGATGGGTACCTAGTTGCGTTTTCGTGCAGAAAATAAACGTTATGCAGACCGTGTGTGTTCGAAACCAACTGTCTTTTTAATGGTTAAGTTAATATCAGTCAAAAGTCGTTACTTATTTTGAAATAGTAACAGAAATCCGCATCCCGTGCCCTCTAACACTTCAATTTAGTTCCTGATTGCATCAACCTGGCCAAATATTTTCGTAATTCAGCGTTCCGTCTAATGGCAGGTAACATGACTGTCATCGTTTGAACATGAGTTCGCTATAAACGGGTATTTTTGTGCAAAGGCTCATGGCCTGAAAAAGGGGGCTAAACCACATTCGGACATGAGAATACAGACATACTCCCAGGAAAGTTGATTGTTGCGAACGACAATGCACACTGTGTGCTCCGTGGTAAGGAGGATATAGGAATGATCGCCTGTGCGTAAATTTACTTACAGTCATATACGGTTTGTGATACATTTACGCATTTTATCCTTCCGCATGCAAAGTCAAGGAAACTCCCGCTCAGTTCTGAGCGGGTGTCCTCTTGCTTTCTCCTTATCCCATTACTTGCTTCAAACTCATCTGGCCAAGCCCTAACCCTAACTATCTTTATCTAACATTAACTCTGACCACTTGGCCGATGTACGGGAAGTCCTATTCCTTTGTCCAACCTTAAGGGCAAACATCAGATTCGGGATTGGTATTTCGAAAACAAAATCGGTCATCTAAGAGTCTACTCAAGGGATGAATACTGTTCACTCAAAAGTTAAAATGAGATTTTAAAATGTCTGGAGAATTGCTCATTTCTTCGTATTTTGTCCTTACTTTTCTAGAGGAATGATGAGGAAAATAAACTTTAATAAATAATATTTTATGACACTTCTAAAAGTAAAAAAATCAATCATCTCTGCGACAAATTGGCAAATTAATTAAGAATTCATTACATCTGACGTAGTCAGTGCATATACTGGATATCTCGCCAGTAATATGACATAATCTAAGGGCATAACCGGCTCCAACGTTTTATTACAACGAGCAAAACGTATTGCTGCAGGGCAGCTATGAGTCCATATGGTGATTCACATCCACAAAATCAGGACAAAAATTAGCATATGAGCATCGTTAGATGTGTTCTCACCACACTATTTCAATGACCAGTCATGCGTTACGCGACTCGAACTGATCGTCATCAAGTAAACATGTAGCTTTGAAAACATAAACGTGCACGAAGCTACTAAATTAATATATATATATATATATATTTGCAAGGTGGTACCGACAAAAATGATGGAGACCGGAATCACTATTTTTGGCTTTTCTGACGTCACCGGCTAGTCATAATCAACACCAAGTGCGAACCGTTTGTGATTGAAATCAAGGATTTTTGGTTATGGATTTTGGCATAATTGTCTGTACCACCTTATATGCCTATAATACTTGTAGCTGTACGACTGCCTTCGAGGATTCGGGTTCGAACCCAAAGAGACAATGGAACAAGTATTTCCCGTACCCCGATCAGTGAGCGTTTATATTTTCTTATGTACTTTCCTGATCGCAACCAACATCATAACGGGCCCCTAGCACCCAATGGCTGAAGATCACGGCTTTCAACCTCAAGTGATCCTACTTAAAGTTGGGTATGACTGGCTGATGACGGCCTTGCCTGTCGGTACTATCTCATTCACCTCTAGTCACTAGTCACTGCAAAGCTTCTTGTTTGGACCTCAGGACGCAATGGAACTAACAAATTTCTTAATTCGATCGGTAAGCGCCCATCTTAACTATCAAAAGACATAGAGAACCCTCGGAGGTCCCACTGAGTGTCACCCAGCGACAGAATATCAGCAAAACACGTGTCCGGGCTTTTAGTAAGTACCTATATCGGGGGTAAGGTGTAATAGCTTTACCACATAGAGCTCATAAAATCTGTAATGGTGCTCGTCTGTAGAATATACATTACGTGGCTAATGCACAGGAGATGACAGTCTTCTTCTCAAATGTTCGTTGAAATTTCGTGTCTGACCCTAAAACGTCATGCGCCAGAGACTTAGCACCATGTCCTGCACTGAATAATTTCTGAAATTATTCCTTTGATTTTTCACTAAAGTCCATTTACCGGAAGCCTTGTAAAGAACACTCACGGACCCATTAAGAGGCCCAAAGTTGTGTCACGTCCCGGGCGAATATCGACAAAAACGTGCTTGGGCTTTTAGCCAGTATCTATATCGCGAGTGCAATACCATGCCTCTTCCATATATATGTATATGCCTTAATACATATATGCAAAGGGTGTCAAGGCACCGATTTTGCGATATCTGATCGCAAGCAAAATTGAAACTACGGTATAAACTCGGCATTTTCTAGCTTTTCAGGCAAATTGTAAAAAGTTACAAAACAAAAAAACTTACTGTACTTAAAAAAATTAGTCTAAAATCAACTAAAGTACGCAGTTGTGCAATTAGAAAATTGAAGACCCAGTGCCCACCCGTCATAGAAACCAAGTCAGACAAATCGGATTATTTAGTTTAAGGTTATTATTCCGCGATTAAGTAAACAGTGTATAACTGACCAACTGAGACTGCTTTCAGTGAACGATGGAGTTTAATGATTAGTCATTGTTAATCGCCACAAGCGATCGGCAACAAGGGTAGGGAGCGTCTGAAAGATGCAGATTTGTCTCACAATGCCGTAAAAACTATATTGACACTGGAAGCGATTTAAAGAAGAAAGAACGACCTCATAAAACTCAGAAAGCCTACAAATTCCTTCCTCAGTTCACATAACCGCACTTCGTGACTAGTGGGACCAGTTCAAACTTCATCAAGCAAGAAAGAGGATAGAGGATCTCTGAAAAAACATCGGGAAGGCATTTGTATTTTCATTAGGAATAATCATCCTAAGGAGCTCGAAGGTGTAGGTGGATAAATGCATGTCACTTTGTAGGTACACTTTTCTATGGTACGTTTTTACATCTCTGCATAACAGAACTCAAAGTTTTACTTATGTCCTGGAACGAGCACCAATTGAAACTGGTTCCAAATGTTTACGTCCTATGGCGTCTGATTAAGTGTCAGTTTGTCAAATAAATTTAACAACAACATAATTATTACTTACACTCGGCGGCTCTCAGCTACTGACCATCGCTTGAGATCCGCAACCAGACTGCCTGGGATCGACGATCTGCAGGCGTGTAAGGATAGACGATTGGCAGGGTCAGCATTGGGAATATCTAGCTGATTGGCGACGTCTTCACAGTACTGGTTGACATAGTCCATTTTTGCGGAGGTCCGTTCTGTGGTCAGAATAATGTGTCGTCTGGGTCGATTTTGGGGAGCGATTCGAGCGAAGCCTGTCAACGAGGGGTTTCGGTCGATACCGCAGCAGTTGGGTGGTTGGCAGATTGTCGGCACGGGTGGACGGTAGCCTTCGAACTGCGAAAGTCGATGCAGGTGGTGGTGATGATGGTGGTGGTGGCTTTCGCTGTCACTTGGTGTGAGATTTAGCACTGCCGGATGACTGCCCTTTTTTCTTAGGTGAGGGTAATTGATGGAACCGGGACCATTTAGGTTCCACTGATTTGCTGCGGCACCCGCAGCCAAGGAGGCTGAAAAGCTCATCGTTGTGCTCGATTTACTGAGACTGCAGAATAAATGAGAGGCGGCTGTGTTTCCGCAGGCAAAATGGCTTACGCGTGCCTTGATCTGTATTGGGTGAAAGGCCATCCATTTCAACCAATAACATGGCCAGATGCATGACATTTGAAGCGCTATAATTGGCTAATTTGTCAGAAGCGATGACATCCATTACTTAGTAAACTACGCAAAGTATCTCGATTTCTTACCTGTGTACCATTAAATATTGAAATAAAAAATTTCATTGTTAAAGAGTTTTTGCATGAAGGCAAGATGTATGCCTGTCTAAAAGACATGATCTGTCCTTCGGAAATGTCATTTATTGAACTTGATCAACTGTAGTTCCTTAAATGGATACAAGAACATGTGCAGAAACATATTTTCACAAAATGTATATGGTATCTGTTAGCCAAACGCTCCATATCAAAATGACCAGCTAAAATAAAAAACCACAAAGTAATGTACTTTAACCTTTTAGTTAATAAAAATGAATACCGGTCGCATTTTTTCACTCAATCGCTCTGACATGTCTTAGCAAAATTATGTAGGAGGCTGAATCCTTTCAGCAAAATGCCATATATTTTTGGATTTACCTGTCGAAAACTATGGATTACACTTAAATATGCATATGCGCAAGCTGCTTTACAGTTGCCCGTTACTTAAATCATTTTATCCTTCTTCACAATTAGCCACATGTTTACTAATGCAAACACATAATCATGCAACATATGAGCAGTTGACGAGGTTTATAGTTTGCAGCCATTTTCAAGCCCCAGCGACTTCTCTAAGGAAAGGGACCTAAACTGAGACGTTAGCTTGGCGAGAATATTTTGCTTAAAATGTAAATTTGCGATGGAACACGCAGATTATATAAGTACCCTTCTCCCAGTCTAAAACTAATCCATAGCTCCTATGTAATCGTCAATATCAGGTTAATAAGCTATAAGACGGCGCCAACGCATATTAGTCGTGCTGAAATCTATTTTTATCAGGTCTCTATTGTGTAAGTCAATTGACTGCATGCCTAGCTGATCTTAGCACAAGCTGATTTTCGTTTCGACTGATAATTCTTGCATATCCCAGTGCGTACGGACTGAACGTAGAAGGTGGTTTTATTTGAGAGGTCATTTGATGTGTAGAAATCAAATCACGTTTTGGACTCTTTGAATAACTTAAAGCTCGATAACCTGCAAATCATCGACAGCTGTATGCGGCTAAGTGCCCACAATAGGTTTTTTGCGAAAATGGCAGTGAAAATAAATTAATTACAGAAGATCGTAATCATCAGAAATTCCACAAATAACATACCTAAAGACAAAATACAATACATTTAGGTAAAATGATACCGACCACGACAAAAGAGATCAAAATGGCAATTTCTGCCTTATTAACCGTCATTGCCTAGTGTGGATCACTTGGGAATTTATTTGCAACCTGACGGCGCCAAAAAATTATATTTTGTCCTACTCAAAACGTTTGCTTGAAAGAAAGTGAGCACGTCCTCGATTAGTGAGACCTACCAGATGATGAATTCCACGCACGTGCCAGAAAAAAGGCAGGTTTTTCCGTAACAGCAGGAAAACGGGTGTGGTGAAGTGATGAAAAGTCAAGGGTTTATATTGCGCATTTCCTTGGGGTTGATATCAATTATTTCTCTAAAAAGAGTGTGATGGTGGTATTGATGCCGTCACCTTAGAAAAGCCCAACACGATCGTTGTCCCAAAGAAGATGAACGCGCGCCTGAGCTTTCTGTCCCATGCAGAGGGACATCTCCAGAGACGGGGAGAGTCCTGAAACAAATGAGCGGTTTCGCAGTCAAAGAACGGGGGATAGAATTGGAGCGGTGGTGTTCGTGACAAAGCTGTGTCCACACCGCCTCAAGACAGCGTGACTGCCACCACCCTTGGTTGGGAATTGCTTCTGCCCTCCTGGCCGCGAAAACGGAGTGCGTAATAGCACCGACCTATATCGGGGTGTATATTGATAGAGTTGATTTCATACACTCAGGCCTTCAGGAGATCTCGCCTGTCTTATAGCTGGATCGCAGTATGATCCGTGTGCTCTCGAAGGTTGATTTTGTGGTCTTCCTCCGGTCTGTGTAAAGCGACCTGAGACAGTTAGGTCACCCCTTCGGACTCCCCATTTCTCCTCCGTTATTCGCGATTTAAGTCATTGTCCAGTCTGCCCTGTGTAATAGCGAGGGCAGACACGACATTAGATCTGATAAAAGATAGCAGATTGTTCTCCTTCTTCTGGTCGATCCCTGATTTACACGGGTTTGGTGTGCATGGTAGCTGCATGTGACAGACGGCTGTTCGGCGTGCTCTTCTTCCCTTGCGAACTGAATGTCGAGGAGAATGCCATAAAACAGGGCTTGAGCTCATGTCCTCAAACCACAAACATCTCGTTTAGTTAAGGTTTCATTACTTCTTTAAACAGGACTTTTCACGTCAATCCTGCCCCTTAAGCTCGGCTTTTGCAGTCACTAAAATCCATGGGGAGAGCTACTATGTCTGCCCTTTCTTTCCGCGCTCGTCGGCATTCTGGACAAATGCTAATCCCACGCTCAGGTTTCCTCCTAAAGAAACCTTGAAGGCTGTTCAGCCACAAAAACCTCGCTTTCTGGCTGTCGGTCCTCGTTTGTTCACGCCGCTACTGTTTGTGTTTTATGCAAGATTTTCGCAACAGTACGAATCCTAGATGGGAATGAACATAACCTGAAAGGACTACAAAAATTAAATCTGCAAGGGGCTGTCCGTGAAACGGCCTGATCAAGGCGCATTCTCAGGAGTTCACTCGACGTTTTACTAATCTTCCCGGCAAAAAGATTTTGATCGTTGCTCTCGGCCAAACCCGTCTTACGCGGGGAAGATAAAGCTACGCTTCCAGCTCAGACCATCTCCGTGTGCGTTTACTCCTTATCTTGCTCCAGTGGAGTAGGCTATATTGGTCGTACGAGTCGACACCTATCCACAAGAATAAGAGAGCGCCCACCGACATAGCTAAGAAAAGGTGAAGTTGAGAGTATACACAGATCTATCTTCGCACACATTTGTGGATCCCAGCGAAGCCTTCCGTGGGGTCTTACGAGGTTCCACCTAAGCGACTGGGTCAGCGCCTACTAGTAACAGCGGAAATCATCTCCATTAGGCTACAGATGCCGGTTCTGTGCGCGCAGAAGTACCTCTCGCGCGCTCCGCATCTACTGTGGACAAGGATCGATTAACCGTATGCAGGTCTCCGCGTCCCCGCCCCCCCCCCCATCCTCCGCCTGTGACTCGGTTCTGCATAACCATCACTGGTAGGGGGCGCTCACCGATCGTTCATACGGAAATCACTCGTTCCGTTGTGCCTTAAGGACTCTCTCTCTCGAGCCCAACCAGCAGCCTCACAGCGGCGCATGATATATAGGCAGAATGCTATTACCGACAAAGAACAGGGAGACTGGAATGGCCATTTCTGGCTTATTAGCCGTCGTCAGCCAGCCATACCCAAGCCCGAAGTGTGGAACACCCGAGCCTCGAGCTTGCGACCTGTTGGTTTAAAGGTCTACGTCACTGCCTATATATCATGCGCCGCTTTGCGGCTGCTGGTTAAGCTCGAGAGAGAGCCTTTAAGGCACAAAGAAACGAGTGAGTTCCGTAAAGAACGATCGGTAAGCACCCCCTACCATTGTATATTCCCGATCGAAATCGGACAGGGCAACCGGCTCGTGGCCCGGTGGGTAGAGGCGTGGACTTCTAAACCAACAGGTCGCGAGTTCGAGGCTCGGGTGTTCCACACTTCGGGCTTGGGTATGGCTGGCTGACGACGGCTAATAAGCCAGAAATGGCCATCCCAGTCTCCCTTTTCTTTGTCGGTAATACCATTCTGCCTATAATCATCACTGTCACTCAATGCCTCCTCTCAGCCCCCCCTCCCCCATTATTCACACGTCACGCTTGTATGAATATACGAACCGCAATCGATTGCACCTATCACTCAAACTTTAGTCTGTACCACGTTCCTATATAAATGTACTGGCCTGATGAGGATTTATCGAGAGCTCGCGTATGCTCGCCAAATACTCTTCTAAATTGCTTCGTCGGAATTTCCGCAACTTTACAACTCATAATGGCTGGAAGAATTAAATCTGCAAAGGAAGTTTCTTCCCTAACAAGGGTCTTCTGAGGGCGACACAGGAATAAGGGCTTGCTGTATTATATGAGGCTTTGCGACAAATGTCAGGGTGTGAATTAGGGTTGGACGGGTTAAGGGTTATGGTTGGGACTTTGAGGTGTATTGATAGGGATCGGAGGATCAAGACTAATATTGACACACGTAATGGGAGTTTTTACTACTGTTAGCCGCTGTGCGAATGCCTGCGAGGGTTTTAGCATGAGCCCCAAGGCACAACGGAACAAGCACTTTGCGTAACCTGATCACTGAGCGCCTATCCGGGATCAAATCTCAGGGGGTTCACATTTGGGATGGGGTATTATTGGCTGATGACCGCTTAAAAACCCGAAATGGCCGTTCCAATCTACGTTGTCTTTGTCGGTTAGCAACGCTACCTATATGAAAAAAGAAGACGTTCGTCGGAAAAAAGCGAGTTTTACTCGTGAATTTTCGGATTGGTGACAACGACCCGTCCTCAAACGAAATGAAGATAAATGAGAGATTGAGACAGTCGCGCCAGACTAGTTGACGCGACAGGACAAACATTGATGGGCGGACCATTAGCGTGTGAGGAGTGATGTGGGTAGGGAGTCATGCTGGATTCTGAGCCGGGTGGGGGGAGAGAACAGTTATGGCTCCCCGTGTTAGAAGGGAGGGAGAATGGTAGGTTCTCTCCCCCAGCCTGCTCAGAATCCAGCATGACTCCCTGTCCGCATCACTCCTCATATACTAATGGTCCGCCCATCAATGTTACTCCTGTCGCGTCAACTAGTCTGGCGTGACTTTCTCAATCTCTCTTTTATCGTAATTTCGTCTGACGACGGGTT